GCCCCCTCCGGGGGGCCCCCCCCCCCCCCCCCCCCGCCACACTCCGTGCTGGGCAGTGTGGCACAGTGATGCGGTGGAAGGTACACGGTGCCGCCTGATGGTGACCATCCTAAGTTCTGGAGGCAGACTGTCCAGTTCAGCCCTGGACTCCACCATCAGCCGCTGACTGTGACCCTGCTGCTGCTGCCACTGCGTCTGTTAAGTTCATTTATTTATTTGTTTGTTTATTCCATGAGACAGGCACAGAAAGAGTGACAGAGACAGAAAGAGACAGGCATCCCCATCAGAGTCCAGATCACAGGCGTGTGCTCCTGGCAAGAATGGGGAGTTCTGGGATGCATCCCCCACGCATGAAGGTCCAGGTGTTACCACCGCCCGGCCATACCGTGCTCCTCCAGTGCATTCTGCCCTGCGGGATCGGTTTCCGCAGCCTCTAGGCTACGAGACTGGCCCAGCAGAACCGATGTGTTCTCTACCATCTAACCTTCCGTGATATCTAGGGATGACCTGGGGCTCTGAAAATCCCCTTCCTGACTGTGACTAGGGGGTCACGTGAAGAAGGGTATGGCTGTTCCTTTCCTTGCCCAGTTGAAGGGGAGAAGGGCTGTTCCCATCCCATCCTTGTACACTATAGTCTAGACATTTGTGGACCCAACTACTCAGAAATGGGACAGAACGGAAAATAAATACCTGCTTTTATTCCTGATCGTAAGGCTCAGAATGTATTTCCATTTTATATTTCTTTTTTTTTCCCCTTCCACCTTGAGACTAGAGAAAGCTATTGTATATCAACTTTTAACACATTCCTTCAGAATACTGACACGTTAGGCAAATGGATGGAATGTGAAGTTTGACTCGTCTTTTCTCAGTAATCACATTACGCTGTATGTGTTCCACTTTTGTCATACTAACAATAGAACTGACAGGGAATCTCGCTGGCTCTGAAATCAGAGATTTGTGGTGTCCAACTGCCATTTACCGTAACTCTGGGGAAGCTTCTCAACTCTCTAAATCCGAGTGTTTCATCAAGGAAATTGGGATAGTGGCGCTGCAGATGTAAGCAGGTGAAATAAGATAATGCAGAGATGACACAACGCCTGGCATGGAGGAAGCACGGAGCAGATGATTTCTGTCATTACTGTTGTTTTAAAATGCCTGTAAATCAAATTTAAAGGGGCCTGACTTTAAAAAGTAGGTAGCAGCATGAATTATTTGAGGATTAGAACTCAAGAGAGTTGACTGAAAGCACCGCATTATCTGCCTTCTCGAAATGTCTATTAACACGTCACCTGTCACGTGAGTTTTATTGCATCTCGGTGTAGTGGCAGAACACAAAGATCATGTGCGTGTTTCATGAATATGTCATCCTGGCGGACTGTCCCCCGATTTCTTTCTTACCAGTCCTTAGTGTGATGAATAAGGAAAACTCCAAATGTTTATGTTTTCGACTACAAACAGATACAGTTTTAATAATTTAGTGAATGGGTTTAATATGCATGGATTATATGTGGACCAGAGAAAAGGGGAATGTGTTTGGTTTGTTGTTGTCTGCTGTAAAGAGAGGCTATTTACTTCTTTTTTTTTTTTTTAAAGAGAGGTTTTTGCTATAGGGCATGTGCGCTCGCTGGCAAGACAGAGACAGAGAGACAGAAAATGGGAAATCACCCCCCAGAGGGGATTGCCATACCCCAATCCCATCTCCTCCACTCTTCTCTTGGGATTTTGGGCACATTCGCCCAGTGTGACTTAAGCCACTGGGTCCAGGACTCGAACTGTGGTCCCCTACATGGGAGTCCAGCTACGTAACCATTACACTATCTACTGGTCCCAGCACCATTTTATTTAGTTCTGAGGTTTAATTCCATTTTTCTAGAAGCAGTAGTATACACCCCTTTGACGGTTCAATGAAGCAATAGAAAATAAATACTGGGTCATCAGAAAAGTCACGCTGCATTCTCACATAGAAACACATAGAAAAATCATCATGACTTTTCCGATGACCCAACACCATTTTCTAAATGGCAATAAACATTTTATGATCATTTATTTCACATTTTGTTATTAAGTTTTTGAAATTTATTATTTAACTTTAATTATTTTAATTTGATCAGAGAGGGACAGAGAAAGAGAAAGTGAGAAAGCAAGCCACCAGGTCCAGGACTTGAACCATGGCTGGCTATGTGGGAGTCCAGCACTCTTAACCACTCTTAACCGCCGGCCCCTAAGTTTTTTAAGTGACATTCCTTGGGGAGTGTTAGGTATGAATATCTTGCATTCAAAATACATGATTTAACCTCAAGTAAATGTTTAAATTTAAGTAATGATCAAAAATATGGGGAACCAGCAGTTAGCGTATTGACTGTGTCGCTGGACTCCCACGTAGTCGACCGCAATTCGTGTCCCGGACCCGTTGACTTGAAACTCACGCCGGGCGCGTGTGCATGCGTGCGTGCCCAAGATTCCGAGAGGAGAACGGAGGAGAAGGGATTTCAGCGTGACCTGGGGGGTGATTTCTCGCTTTCTGTCTCTCTGTCTCTCTCTCTGTCTGGTGAGCGCACGCGCCCTATAGTGAAAAACCTCTCAAAAAAGAAATATGAAATACATATTGGTGTTGAGATAGACTATTTCATTGCTGAGTGTAGATGAAATTTATCTTTATTCTTTTCTCATAGTATTTTGCATCAAATGGGAAATTTTAGTGAATCTTGAGTTGTAGGATTTTCAAAATTCAACCTGAACCATGATGTTGAACGCTAAAAGTATCATTACTCAGAATGATCAGTCTTTGAGGAAAAAAACATAATGATATTTTGGTGGTCAGAGGGCAAGAATATACCATTGAAGGTAAAGAAGAGATTTACTCAAGAGAAATGGGCATTTCTACTTGTAGCTATCCTGAGAGGATGGTAGTCTTGTGATTAAGTAAAGTTTTGACTGATTTCATTGACTGGGCAAAACGTTACAGATACTCTTACCCTCTTTGTAATCATATAACTCCATCTTTTGCTAGTTGATTTAATAAGAAATGTATCCCTCTTTGGGTTCTAGTTGAGGACTTTACTGAACCAACCCGTGAGAATATTTATACTTTTCTTTCATTCATTTAGTAAATACTTGTGGTTTTTTGTAAGGTGCTGGGAATGATGACATAAGAGAATGATGTGGCCTTTTGGATTTATGCCATGATTGGAGAATTTATCATTTTATAGTACACTGGTTGTCTTTCCATTTGCTTAAAGGTGATTACAAGAGATAAGAACTTAAGCACGTCAGAGACCTGAGTGGTTCCTTACTCTGGCCTTTGGAAAACTATGCTCTCTTGAGACAGCCGATGGCTTGGTAGTGTAAGGCAGCTGGAACCCCTGTGGCCAACTGTGTGGTTCGAGTCTTGGATTCAGAATCGTGAGGACACACCAGTTGTGCACATACGTGTGTGTGTGTGTGTGTGTGTGTGTCCGAAATGCTGAGAGCTTGGAGGGGAAAGGATTGCAGTGTTGTCATCTGTCATCTGCCCATGGGAGGGGGGATGCTTTTTTATACTTTCTCCTCCCAACCCTTGCAAGTGTATAGCAAAAGTAAAAAATAAAATAAAATAAAATAAAGAGGTTCTGCTCTCCTTAGCCACTGTGGAAAGGGGTGTGTATGTAAACTAGAGTGTCTAGAGGCATTTGTGCCTAGCTTCTGTCCCGACACCTGTGGCGGCGGTGATCAAATGAATGCAGTGTGGGGGACAGACTCTGGGGACTCGGACCTGAGCCCTAACTTGCTTCCAGGAAGTTGACAAGTCCCAACCAACCATAAATTTAAATTTCACCTTTGTAAAAACGAAGTATGGAACCATTACGTCATTGGGTTATTTTGAGATGGAAAAAATTTAATATTTTAAAAGTGCTCTGCCTAGTACCTGCCAGCTAAGTGTAACAATCGCAAATACCTTTATAGTCTGTGTTGCATGCCAGGGGGTGGTCTGCTCATGGCGTGTGCATGTGCGCTACTTCGTTTAATCAGCCTATGAAGAACATGCTGTTCCTGTCTCCATTTTTTTTAGAAAAGGAAACTGAGGCACAGAGACACTAGTAAACCTGCTCGTGATAATGCAGTTAGCTGGTGACACGCAGACCTCAGTCAGCTGGAATTATTATTCGATCGACACTTCCTCGTAATGTCTGTGGTGGATGTGCTTCTTGATGTTTTTCTTTTCTCTCTCTAGGTGTCATAGAGACTTCAGATCGACTGGACCGTGAGTCAACTCCCCATTACTGGCTAACAGTCTATGCAACCGACCAGGGGGTTGTGCCTCTTTCATCGTTCATAGAGATCTACATAGAGGTGGAGGATGTCAATGACAACGCACCCCAGACATCAGAGCCTGTGTACTATCCGGAAGTAATGGAAAATTCCCCCAAGGATGTATCCGTGGTCCAGATTGAGGCGTTCGATCCAGATTCTAGCTCTGATGACAAGCTGATGTACAAAATTACAAGTGGCAATCCGCAGGGGTTCTTTTCAATACATCCCAAAACAGGTACGTATTTAAAATAGAAGGTGAAATGTCCGTGCTTATGTTCTGCTGAGACGGGGACCGTTCATGAAGAATGACTGTTTATCCTTTGCAATCTTCAGGTGTTAAAAGTTGTTTTCTTTTTGAGTTACTCCAAACAAGTATTTATTGTCAGATGAAAATTTAGAGCCAGTGTATTTTTTTCCTTCAAATTTGCTATAAAAGAAAAAGATGTAAATATTTTGAAGAAAGTTCTTCCGTGTCACAGAGAGAGAAAGAGGCGTGAGTCTTCGTGCCGCAGTCCACCCCTCGCCTCGGCCAGCTCATATCACAGGTGTGGATGTATACAGGGAATAGGGATCTGAGGACCGAACCCAGGACCTTCCCATGTGGGCACAGCATTGCAGTGTTGTGTTGCTGTTGCACCCCTGTCTTGAGTTTGGGTTTATACAGCTGTTTTATAATCTCGCTAATTAGCAGAGTCACTTTCAGGTTAAAAAGCAAATCTTGCCAGTTCAGTAATAACTCCTCAATTGGTAAGCTATCTTAAACATACAGCAAATGGTACTGCTACTAAATATTTGAGTTTTCCTAATTCTGGGGTTTTTTGGTGAAAAATATCAAGAATTTATTTAATAATTTACTAATATTTTAACGTTTTTAAGTTTTTCCCATGGAGCAGTGCTATTTCTCTGCAGGCATGGAGGATCAGGATTAAAACAGTTTTTAAATTAGAAGCAGTTACTTTCTTAATCTGATACCTCAAGTCTTTTCCTTCTATTCTTTTCTCCTCTCTGTGTCTGTGATCCCTTTCTTTCAAGAAAATAGCTCCTTGACCTTAAAATCCTCTTCCAAAATTCTTTTTTTTTTTTTTTGAGAGGTTTTTGCTATAGGGCTTGTGCGCTCGCCAAAAAGACTGAGACAGAAAGCGAGAAATCACTTCCCTAAGGGAATGCAGTCCCTTCTCCTCTGTTCTCCTTTCAGGTCTCGGGCACACACGCACATGTGCCCACTGTGAGTTTAAGCCACCAGGTCTGGGACTCGAACTGCAGTTGACTACATGGGAGTCCAGCGACATAGCCATTATGCCAGCTGCTGGTTCCCCTCTTCCAAAATTCTTAAAAACGTCTCTTTATTGCTCTTGTTCTTTTAAGGATGTTTTCTTTTTTTCTTCGTTCTTAGTTCTCTTTTTTATTAATTCACGCACTAAGAAAGATGTATAGTTTAGCTGCCATTTGGGTAGTGAAAACTTAGCTCTCATTCATGCATTGAAAGCCTTGCATGTGGAGTATAGTAAACTTTGATTTATTGATCAGTTAAGCTAAGAATCACCATATGACATTCATTGAGAAGGCGGTTTATTTGTAGAAGATAAAACTGCTTATCAAATAGATTACTAGTCTTAAATGAAGATGCGGTGCAGTTATTCGACCCCTATCAGTAGAATCTAATTAACAGAATTTTAAAGAGAAAGATTTATTTAATAATTTACATACCTCTCTCATGCCTCTGTGTATTGTGTCTTTTCTGATTCCATGGTAACTGGCCCGCGCACTTACTAGATTGTCCATTTGACGTGTCAGGGAAAGAAAACATAAAAATTAATACTAAGGAAGCATCCTTAGCTTCCTTATTTGTCTTTGTTATACTTTTCTCGTGTCATTCTTCTTTCTCCTTTTTTTTTTTTTTTCTTGTCTTTAAAGAAGTTCCGCCTTAGTGCCTGTGTGTTCGCTGGAGAGAGAGGGAGGGGGAGACAGACAATGAGAGGGAAAATGAGAAGTTGCCCCCAGGAGGGGATGGTTCTGCTGCAGTTCCTTCTCCTCCATTCTCCTCTTGGGATCTTGGGCATGCACGTACATGTGCCTTGCATGATTTTCAAGCCACCGGGTCCAGGACTGGACGGTGGTCTGTCTGTGGGAGTAAAGCAATGTAACTGGTATGCTGTCCACTGGTCCCACTTGCGTCATTCTTCAATTCCTTTTGGGGTACTTCAACAAAAGCAGTTCTTCGGGTGAAGAGAAGCTTAAATTTAAGATGTGTAGCAAATGTCCGTAGGGATAGCTGCTGGAGATCATGGAGGTATGCAATATTTTCTTCTTTGAAAAGTATGTTAAAACATTAGATTTTAAACCTTTTGTCAGCATATTTCACCCTGACTTGTGTAAAGACTTGGTTGATTGTTAGAAGTGAACACAAGTTCAAAATTTCTTTTGAATGTTTTAGTTTCGCATTTGTTTTTTTGCTTTGAGACAATTATACGCTAGACTTTTGGATAGCTTCTGATAAATGCAAGTTCTGGTATCCTGAAGAAAGGACAGGGTTTTGAATTTTCAGAAGACTGGTAATTGATCATTAAGGCTGATTGAGCTTTATAGGAATTTACTAATACAGGAGTGAAATTTACAGGACCTGAGAATTCCTTACCTTTGGAAGCATTAGGTGTAGGACACTGAGCACAAGAAAAAAAGGGCTTCAATTAAGACAGCATATAAAACTTGAAAAAGCTTTTGTAAATAATTAATACAACTAATTATTTTAGAGCCAGTCCATGGCCTGGTGGTTAAGGTGACTGGGTACCACATGATCAACTGTGCAGTTTGAATTCCAGATCTGGTTAGCGTAATGGCTATGTCGCTGGACTCCCACGTAGTCGACCGCGGTTCGCGTCCCCGACCCGGTGGCTTAAAATTCACGCCGGGCGCTTGTGCATGCGTGCCCAGGATCCCGAGAGGAGAATGGAGGAGAAGGGATTGCGGCGTGGCCATTCCCCCTGGAGGGTGATTTCTCGCTGTCTCTTTGTCTCTCTCTGTCTGTCTGGCGAGTGCACGCACCCTATAGCGGGGGGAAAAAAAAAAAAAAACCTCTCCAAAAAAAAAAAATACACTGGACACTTGTAATGCATGCCCAAATGGAGAAAAAAGGAGAAAGGATAGTGGGAATTGTGGCATGACCCAGCTTCTTGGAGGTGCTTTCTACTGTCCCTGGCAAATGCACTTGCTCTCTGCCCCTCCCCCCCCCAAAAAAAAACCAGAATAAAAGAAGAGAAAAGATGAGAAAAGAAAAGGCTTATTTTTACGGTGTGGTTGGTTATATACTGTTTTTCACTGTACAAGTGGTAAATCGTTTACCCTCCTTTTTTGAAAAGAAGAAGAAAGAGAAGCAGAACAAAGGCATTTTTAATTATAAAAGAAGAAAGTTTCAAGAATTTTAGAGGTGGATTTTGGAGTCTGGAGCTTATGCTTAGAAATGGGTTGGTCACAGATCTAGAGAGAGAGACAAATCTGGATGTAAAAGACTTGCGGTGGTAATTTAAGACCATTGCCCTTATTGTAGAATCATTTTAGGAATGAGACTTAAACATTTTCATCTTTCTTACGTCTTCTTCCTTTCAGAAAGGTTAAGTCCCTTGTGAAGAGACTAATGAGTGAGCAATCAAAGTCCTTTTGACTATCTGAGCAAATTCCGTAGGGCTGGGGATAATGTATATCTGAGGAGAAGGAGGGGAAAAAAACTTAAGCAACTATACAGCTGAGAGTTGTGGGGAGCCTGGAAACCTCTGTTATCGCTGGGGCCTGGGAAGTGATGATATGGCTGCTCTGGTGTTGTGTCTTCTTGAAGAAACACGATTAATATGGCATTGCCACTCCCGGTTAGATCTCTCTGTTGTGACATCTCTTAAGAAAGCATGTCTGCAGAGACGTCTGCATTCTTCTTTCTTTTCAGCAAGAATAGATGCCCTCCGGGAGTCCACAGCTAGCCCCCAGCCGCTGGGTGGGAAGCACATGCATCCTACTGGCAGGACAGTGGAGAAAATTCATTAGGGTTTCTGAAGAGGCCTTTGTTGTTAGTAATGAATTGAAGACAGATAATAGTGGAGAATAACTACAGTTCGAATAGCGATAGAAAATACTTTATAAATCATATGGTTAGTGAAGAAGGCTGATCACTTCACAGATCACCTTAAGACTCTAAAGATCAAGAAATAACCATATTTTAGCATGGGCTGTTTTAAAAGAATATAGTATATACAGCTTGACAAGCTGTCTTGTGGGTGATTCTGTTCCCACACACAACAGAAAATTTTGGCTTTGGGCAGGATCCTCATAGTACAAAGTGTGGAAGGCCTTACCTTCCTCCAAACCTTTAAGCAGGCTACTGTTTTTAATAGGTGAGGCAGTGAAAGCTGATAAAAGCCAGTCTGGTAGAAGAAAGCTCATATGTATTTGCTAGCCCATAATGCCATCTGGAGACTCTAAATCAGGTTAATAATTGACTGGGGGACTGGCAGGTAGTGTAGTGGTTTAAGGCACTAGACTTCTACAAGGCCCTCCATGGTTCAAGTCCTGGACCTGGAGGCTCAAAATCACACCAGGTGCGTGGGTTTGCATACCCAAAATCCTGAGAAGAGAATGGAAGAGAAGAAACTGTGGCATGGCCATCCCCCCTGGGGGATGATTTCTTACTTTTTCTCTCTCTGTCTCTCTGGTGAGCACATGTGGTCTATGGCAAAAATCTCTCTCACTTAAAAAATAAAGTTATTTACTGACTGAGAAAATAATGGGACTGAAAATCAAGCAATCTGGGCCATAGTGAGGCTTTACCTCTGGCATCTTAGGGAAAAAAAATTTTTTTTTTTTTGAGAGGTTTTTGCGATAGGGCACGTGCACTTGCCAGACAGACAGAGAGAGAGAGAGAGACAGGGAGACAGAAAGCGAGAAATCACCCTCCAGGGGGGATGGCCACACCGCAATCCCTTCTCCTCCATTCTCCTCTCGGGATCTTGGGCACGCACGCATACGCGCCCGGCGTGAGTTTAAGCCACCGGGTCCGGGACTCGAACTGTGGTCAACTACATGGGAGTTCAGCGACATAGCCATTACGTTAACTGCTGGTCCCCTTAGGGAAAATTTTCTGGGTGCAGAGCACCCAGCAGCCAGAGTCACTTATGGGAAGGTACCCTGCCTGTTTCAGTGGCATGGGTTACAGTTGCCCTATTAGTGACTAGAAGACAATCATAACTTCGG